GGCATCCCCCTCCCCCCTACATTAAAGAAATGAGTTTACTAGTTGCTACATTGTTCCTTTGTCGACTTTTTTTCCCGTTTCACCTTTTTAATGTTTACAATTACTACCAGTTTTTGCAAATTCATCTAAAACAAAGAGAAACATCAAGTTGTAAATCTAGGAAACTTGTATTAGAAAGCACAGACAGAATGTAGTTTGATTTTTGAACAACTGCTTCTCTAGACATGAAGAATTACACGTGATCAACTATGTTTTCTTCTCAGCAAGGTCATGCATATATTAAATGATTTCTCTCAAGGACACGATGCAACAAATTGACCTTCCATTCTTCCTCTCCATATTAACAAGATAATTCTATTTCTCAGATTAAGTATCATTATTTTGTATTATAAATTTTTAGTCCATAATAATGACCCAAACCTCTCTCAATATTTAACTTCATGCTCAAATTTGTATAATTATTTTGATGACGGAACTTCTTGCAGTTGATTGGTACTCCTTCAGAGGCTGAAATGGAGTTTTTAAATGAGAATGCAAAACGATACATCCGCCAACTTCCTCTTTACCGTCGACAATCATTCACTGAAAAGTTTCCACATGTACACCCAACTGCAATTGATCTTGTCGAGAAAATGCTGACATTTGATCCTAGAAGGAGAATAACAGGTGCGAAATTCCAGACAAGTTTCTCTCCTAGCTGCATTAATCAATTCTCCATGTGCATCTTACAACATGTACTTAATGTATAGGAGTGTCCTCTTGTTTTCTTGCTAGAGATCAATCATAGGAGGACATATACTTACTAGTATCTCACTCAGTGTTTTGGATAGCATGCGGCGACAAATAGTGACGAGGGCCTGCTTTACTGAGGCGAGAGGCGCGCAGCGACGCGCTCGCCTTTTTGATGTGAAGCGACAATTTATACAAAAATATAAAAGATTATATACATATAACTAAAAACTCAATAACAATAATATATTAATAAATATATCATTCAAAAATTAAAGACTCAATAGATAGTCATAGACTCATAGTAGATTCATAAATTAAAGTCTAATAGTCTAAACTCTAAAACAAGCAACATCTATTCTTCTTCAAGATTTTCAAATTCTACAACTTCATGAATGTTAGCATTATATTGGCTATCATCTTCTTCATCCTCGGACTCTTCATCAATTAGGGACCCGCTTGAACTTGCTACTCCCTTTCCCTTGTAACTTGAAGAACTCCCTCTAAGTCCATCCTCGTACTCTTCATCAATTAGGGACCCGCTTGAACTTGCTACTCCCTTTCCCTTGTAACTTGAAGAACTCCCTCTAAGTCCATAGATATTTCTCAACTCCAACCGCCATAGAAACAGTACCCCAATCAAGATCATCTCCTTCATACACTTGTTCATCTTCATGATTTTGGGGTGCTTCAGTTAACCATTCATTTGCATCGTCCATGTTGTCCAACAAAATTGGATCAATGGTATTGCGAGCTTCATAACGTCACCTCAATGTTCTATTGTATTTAATATACACTAGATCATTGAGACGCGATAGCTCAAGCCTATTCCTTTTCTTGGAGTGAATCTGCGCATAAGTTGTTTAGATTAATTAATAAATACTAATAATAATACAATATAGAATATATTAATATAATAAATCTGCTTCTTACATGCTCAAATACGCTCCAATTTCTCTCGCATCCAGATGCACTACAAGTTAGGCTTAGTACTTTGATGGCAAACTTTTGCAAGTTTGGAGTTTGATGTCCAAATTGCTTCCACCATTCAACTATAGAAAAATATTTTAGAAGTTAATAAGTGTAAATCAAATAAACTAAATTAAAGTTATAAGGATATCTATATTAAAGTTAATTACCTGGTGACCTTATGTCTCTGGCTCTAATGGCAGCCGATAAACCAAATAGGCCCTCTGGTTGTGAGTACCTACCAAACTCCTCCCCTATTTGATCTATCGTCGTTGAATTAGGGACCAACTTCTCAAGACATGCATGGTATCCAATCCACACATCTGAAGCCAAAGTTTCATCTCTAATGTTCTTGTAAAATAATCCCGGGTTTAGAAGATGGCCTGCTGCATGCAAAGGTCGATGGAGTTGATTGTCCCACCTGGTATCAATTATCTCAAAAACTTTCTCATATTTCCTAACATCTCCCTCGAATGACGCTGCAATACTCTCTTTGGCTCTATCCATAGCTTCATAAAGATAGCCCATTGGTGGTTTTCCCTCCCCATTCACCATACGAAGCACCCTAATCAAAGGACCACCAACTTTAAGAGCCCGAACGACGTCATTCCAGAATGATGGAGAAATAAGAACTTTGGCAGTTTCTTTCCCCGCAGCTTCCTTTGCATATTTATTATCTTTCCATTCATTCGAAAGAACTAGCTTTCTCAAATTTTTCTTTTGCAAGTAAAAACTATGCAAAGTTAAGAAAGCCGTTGGAAATCTAGTCTTGGCCGGTCTCACCAAATTTCTTTCATTTGTGAATTTTCTCATCAAATTCAACAACAACGGCCTCTAACTGATGTAAGAATATATCTTGACGGCCTTAGTGAAAACCGTAAAAGTAACAATTACAATTTTATAGTTAATACTTAATAGGATAGGACATAAGTATAAATAAAGTTAAAGGCTTTAAAGATAACTGTATTAAAGTTATCGGAAGCATATGGGTTTTCCTTGAATATGTCACCAAACATCAAGTTGATACAATGGGTAGCACATGGAGTCCAATAAATGTTTGGATACATAGCTTCCATCATCTTCCCCGCGCTAACATTCTCACTAGCATTATCTGTAACAACTTGTACAACATTTTCCTTTCCAATTTTATCAATAGTCTTTCTAAACAAGCTGTACATTTTGCTTCCATCCGTATAAGAGTTGCTATCATCGTGAGATTCAAGAAAAACACTCCCTCTTGGAGAGTTCACCAACACATTTATGATCATTTTTCCATTCCGTGCTGTCCATTTATCCATCATAGTGGAACATCCAAACTTATTCCATTCCACTTTATGCTCCTCAATAATTTGGTCTATCTTCTTCACCTCTTTTTTAAGATGAGTTACTCTAACTTCATGATAGCTAGTAGGCTTCATTCCTGGGCCATATTGTCCTACGGCCTCAATGAATTTATCAAAAGTTTTGTAGCTGACACAGTTGAAAGGAAGCCCTGCATCGTAAATCCATGCTGCAAAGGCACTTACGGCGCGATCCCTCAAAATCTTCTTGGCTTCTAAACCTAAACCTTCTTCACTTTTTCCCTTTTCTTGTTGTTTTGCCGAGAAATAAAGATTGAGAGGAACTTTTGTTACCGTACGTGCCGTGGATGACGCACTAGAACCAGTAGATATCTTATGAGTTTTTAGGGGGGGG